AAAGAGCCGAAAGATAATAAAAATCTCTTGGCCTTCTGGAATAGCATTGTGTGTAGCCAGGGTGAAGATCAAAGGTGTTGGTAGCTTTTGTAAAACTAAGGGCTGAAACTAGACAGATCAAGATGATAATGAAAAAGAACACGTTTGATCATCATTTGGATATTCCAAATAGCATACAACTCAAATGGGGGCACCATTCTGTATTTGCTGGAACCTTCTTTTGTAAATTCTGTCAGATGACAAATTTAAAAAAAAAAATCAAACATTTTACTCATTCTTCAGGGGGTTATAATTTTGGGATTCATGAAAGAACTATTAGATAGATTTATTACTAGTAACACATAGGCTTCTCATGGTCAAAACCGATCCTGTTTGCGGTTAGTACGTCTGTGCTATGGACTGCTTATTGCATAATCCCAAGGTTTCAATGTTTCTTTCTTTTTTTTTTTTCTTTTTTCCATTAAGCCTTTTTTTTTTAAAGAAAAAAATAAAAGCCAAATCAAGTATTTGGTAAAATGCAAACTGTTTTACATTGTAGACATACTGTCTTGTCTATTTGGCTCTGCAGAATTACACTTTGCTGATACAAACAGTAAGCTGCTCAGGGAAGAATTCCAGCAATTTGTCTTTCCCAACCTTGCACACAGCAGACAGCGAGGCAATTTATATACAGCGACTCCCTGTTCTTGTTTAATTTCCTCAGACAAAACAGGAGATTGCGCTGGTGCCTGCCAGTTCAAAGCTGCACAGCGTGTTTGTCTGGCCTGCATTGTCACCTCATGAATCAGGACTCTAGAGCCACAGGGCCTTCCAAGTTTTCCGGTCCAGACCCTGTTGCAGATGAGAACTGAGGTCCAGAATGACTGCTCACTGACCGTCACACAGCGTGTGAGTGGTCGGGTCTGGAGTTGTGTTGTGTTTAACCTAAGGTTTTCCTTTCTCCACCTTCCCTGTAGGTTATTCGAGTTCTAGGGTGAAGACTTAGCCTGCAAAGTGCCATAACTGTATTCTTGCTCTCAGAATCACACCAGCTGATAATGTGATCACCAGTCATGGAATTGTAGGATAAAAGTGTGTCTTGCAGTTATGAGAAATCTAGGCTCTTCCTTTTGTCTCTGAGCTCTTTGGGGCACACCTTCACCTTTATGGGCCCTCCTGATCCAGCGTGGTGTGTGAATCAACCTCACAGCCCAGCTCCTGCTTCCTGGCTGAACAATGTGGGCCTCCTCACACTTACTGTGATGTGTAGGAAAGTGAAGCCTCTAAGTGCACTGAAATCTGAGGGATATTCAGGGAAGGGGTGTGCAGGGTGCTGGTTGGACTTCTGCCCAGAGACCTGACCGGGTGGCACAGTTGTCCATGGTGGCCAGTGCTCCCCTCGGAAAGGCTTTGTGGAAGGGCTGTGCTCTCTACGTGCATCTCTGAAAGCTTAGGTAGGAAAGGCACCGTTTGAATTTTCTTGTCTGATAATCAGTAAGCAGCCAGAGAGGTGTCTTGATGTCCCCTTCCTGAGTGATGGGAAACCGCAGCCGCCTCTTTGGAGGAAAGCAGAAGTGTGTCTTGAATTTGGGGAAGAAGTGGTGAGCCACTGAACTGTTTGGCAGATTTGACAGAAGGCATGAACATATTAATTTTTAAAACTGTACTCCTTGGAGCTCTGAGTCTTGGATCATGGAGTCATGATCGTGCCTTGAGTGCTGTCTTTGGAGGAAGCCTGTGCCGTGTAATGAGAAGACTCACAAGGAACGTGTCACCAGGTCCCCATTTGAGAGGGGTTTGCCTTCTAGTTGGTGGCAAACCCAAACTGTGCTGGAAGGGAAAACGGCCCAGGGACATCCGAGAAGAAAGAGTGCATTCTGGGTAACGGGGCCACTAGCTGTTTGTAGGATGTGAGATTGGATTGTTGTTACAGAGACAGGCTGTGGGTAAACCCCAAGTCCAGCGTAGAAGTTAGGAGAAAAGAGGGGGAACTTGGCAAGTGGGTGGGTGATAGCACCGGATTGTCAGGTGCCCCTGCACACCGGTGCCCGAGCCCCTCACAGCCCCTAGGTGCAGCCTCAGAGCTCTTCTACTTTCCTGATGACTAAGAATCAGGAAGGTATGAAGCTGGTCATTGCACAAGACGTGTGACACAGTGGCCTCCCTCTTCCTCTTTCCATCTGAGAGGGCGCTGGTGGAAGGAACCTTTCAGTGAAAGGCGGTACCCTGGGCCTAGGGGGACCCAAGATGGGAAGTCCAGTTTCTGAAGAAGACCTGCCCCGTACCCAGTGGGCAAAACGTCGGAGTGAACTAGCCATCAGAGGAAGGAGCTGAACTTGAGTGCCACCGCAGCCCTGGCCTGGGGACCCACAAACAGGTCTCAGAGTCCAGGACCTGCTCCTCCTTCGGATTCTGTGCAGTGCTCCTGACCTGCTTCACCAGCTGGTCCTTGTTTTGAATTCACGTAGTTTGTCCAGGCTTCTGTCCTGGAGCCACAGAACACTAGTTGGGGGACTCCGTTTGTAAAGGAGAGGCCACTGGAAAGAGGTGACTGGACAGACACCCACGCCTTCCATTCACTGGCAGATTGTGCGGAAACCAGGCTCAGGAGCAGGCGCACTGCAGCTTGGGAAGCCACTGGGACAGGGACACCTTTGTTTCCTAGTTATAAGGGGTCCCCTGTGGGACATTCAGATGGATCCAGTGACCTTCCTTGTGTGCTCATTGAACCTGACTTACATTGGTGGGTCAATGGCTAGAGCTGAGTCTCCAAATGGTTTTTCTTCATTGGAAGGATCTAGACCACTCATCAGTAGATTGAAAGCAAAAAATAGATCTACTTTAAAAGAAAAATAGCAGCACTTCATTGAAGTATGATATATACAGTATAAAAATCCATGTATTTTAAATATACAAAATTCAGTGATTTTTTTTTTTTTTTTTAGTACATTTATGGAGTTGTATGACCACCACCACATTCTAGTTCGGGATAGGTTTTTCAATCAGCAGCTTCAGTTGACCAATGATCTACTCTACTGTCTGAAGATTAGCCCATTCTGAATATTGCAAATAAATGCAACCATCCAATACATGGTCTTTGGGCTTCTTTGACTGAACATATAGTTTCTGAGATTCATGCTTCTGTGGCACGTGTCTCTATGGCACTCTTTTTGATTGCTGAGTTGTCATCTGTTGCATGAATTTACCGTCAACCCTCTATCTATGGCTTCTGCATCCAAGACTTCAATCAACCACAGACCAAAAATATTTGAGGAAAAAAAAATTGTATCTGTCCTGGACACGTGTAGAAATTTTTTTCTTGGTGTTTATTCCCAGCCAATATTTACCTAGAATTTGCATGTTTTGTTTTGATCCTGTAAGTAATCTGGAGGTAACCAAGTGTGCAGGAAGAAGCTCAGGTTATAGGCCAAGGCCACACCGTAGTATCTAAGGGACCTGAGGTGCGGTGGAATCCATCCCTCATAGACACCAGGGACAGGTGCATCCAGCCATAGGCTGATGACTGGTTGCTGCCTCTTGCTATTATGACTACTGCTGCTGTCTTGTTTCCTGTGGCTCCTATGACAAATTACTACCCACTTGGTAGCCTAAAGCAACAGGAATTTATTATCTCACAGCTCTGGAATCCAGAATTCTGAAATCAAGGTGTGGACAGGTCTGTGCTTCCTCGGAGACTCTTGGAAGATTCCACAGCTTGCTTCTTCTGGCTTCTAGTGGTTGTCTGCAAGCCTAGATGTGAGGTCACGTCACTCCAGTCCCTGCCGCCATCTTCCTGTCAGTTCCTCTTTGAGTAGAGATACCTGTGATTGCATTCAGGGCCCGCCCTGAGACCTGGGGGAAGCTGCTGCTCCCAAAATCCTTAACACAGTCGCCTCTTTGCCCACACGTCGGGCAGAGACACAGGTTACAGGTATCTGCTGCGGATTTCCTTTTGGGCAACCCACTTCTGGTCCACCACAGGAGCCGTGAACATTCACCTAAGGTTTCTGTGGAGACCTATGGTTTCATTTCTCTTTGTAGATAACCTGGGAGTGGATTTGCCGGTTTGTTTGGTAAAAATAAGTTGAACTTTTAAGAAACTGCCAAACTGGTTTTCCAGTGGCCCTCTTTTTGCATTCTTACTGGCTACGTATGAGAGTTCTCGTTTCTCCACATTCTTGCCAAGAGTCTGGTCTTTTTTTAAATCTTTTTATTACAGCCATTCTAGTAGGTGTGAAGTGATATCTGATTGTGGTTTGAATTTGCATTTCCCCAGTGAATAATTGCGATGAATATCTTCTCATGTGCTTATTAGTCACCCATATGTAATCTTTGGTAAAATATCTATGCAAACCTCTTGTCCGTCTAACTATTGGCTGTCGCCTTTGTCCGTCATGAGTGAGGCTATGGTTTTGCACTACCTGGTCCAGCCATTGCTGGGCCTGAGAACGGTGATGACTGAGGTTGGATTGATCAGAGGGCTGGGGCGACCCTGCTGCCCACATGTCCAGGCTGGGGCAAGGCACAATCCCTCTGTTGTCCCTTGTATCGTTTCTTACTGGAGATCCTCAGATACAGCCTTTTGGCTGCAAAATACTATGTCAGGGAAGCCAAGAGACAGCTACCCTGAACCCTGGTGATTATAGGCTCAGTGATATTTCAGGTTGGCTGTTGTCTGAGGAACAAGGGAAGTGACCTACAGAGCCCCATGATGTATCCTCATTGTCACCTGGTATTTTCTTTCAGAATGCTCATTCCTAGTTTAATTTTTGTAGTTATTTCTGTGATTATATATTCAATACCTTTCCAGCATTAGATTGCTACATTCCCGTGAAACAGGGGGCCACATCTTTGTTTTGTCACTCCGTCACCAGTCGGTATTCGTTGGATAGTGGAAATGGAGCTCTTCTCTGCTCTTATGGGTGATTGGCACAAAATCACTTAATGGCGGGTTGTTGGTTGAGTAAATAATTTATTTAGTGGCATGCATTCTAACTGTCCCCCCTTCTTCTCATTCCCAGCGATCTATAACTACAACGCTTCTCAAGATGTGGAGCTCTCCCTGCAGATCGGCGACACCGTCCATATCCTGGAGATGTATGAGGGTAAGTGGAATGGGCTTCTGCCAGGGGCGAAGGAAGAAATGCTGGAAGTTACTCATTAATATGGCTCTTAATATTGGCCGCCCGGCCAGTGCCAGGGAAACTCCGGGAGTTACTCAGGTGATGAGCTCTGTGCTGAGGGTCGTTTCAACTCAGCCAGCCCAATGCCTGGGCGCAGACGTGCCAGACACCAGAGTCGAGGCCATGGGTCCCACCAGTGGCTGCCCAAGGGTCTGCCTCAGAGCAGCTGTTGGGTTGGTGTGGCTGGAAGGAAGCACTGCAGATGAAGAGCTCTTTCTGCCCAGCACTAAACGTTGCCAGGTTGTGGGGAAATGAGGGAGAGGCTTTCTAAGTGGCTGAGATTCTTTCAGAAAATTAGGTCAGGACTAGAGCAGTCGTCCTGCCCCTGTATTTCCTCCAAGTAGGTCAGGCCTGGGCGGTGGTTCTGGTTAACCTCTCAGTGGTCTGCAGGACAGGACTTGGAACGAACTCGCTGTTGGTCTGCAAAGCACAGGTCCCTACTCAGCTTTGCTAAATCCAGGGTCCCCTCCACATATCTACTTTTTTTTTTTTTTTGGTAAATTTTAATTTTTTGCCAGGTTTTTTAAGTTTACAGAAACATTGGTTGGAAATACAGAGGGTTCCTACATGCTCTCTGATGCCCAGATGCCGGGGTTCCTCTATTAATAGCAGCTTGTATTGGTGTGGCACATGTCACAATCCATGAGCTGTTTACAACAATCTATTCTTTTTTTTTTTTTTTTTTTTTTTTTAGTTGTAGATGGACACATTTATTTTTATGTGGTGCTGAGGATCAAATCCAGTGCCTCACACTTGCTAGGCAAGCGCTCTACCTCTGAGCCACAGCTGCAGGCCCACGTATCCACATGTCTAATCCCAACCCCTGGAGCAACCAAAGGGTATCCTGTTCACTGCAGCTGAGGTTCAAAGCAAAGAAAACCCTTTAGGGACCAGTTATCCCCGGTGAAGGCTGGGGTAGGAAGGACGCAGGAAGCTGGGCGGAATCTTCTCAGAGCGAACCTTGTTACGACAGCCGGCCCCGTAAATGCTCTTTGGGAAGAATGGCAGAGGTGCCATCTAGAATCCCACTCAGGTACTTAGCAAGGACAGAATGCTGCAGGAGGTCAGGAGGAAGGGTTCAGCCATCACAGAGCGTAGTCACCACCTGGTTGCACAGAGACGCTGCTGCCGCTGCTGCCTGCTTCAGATGGTGACTGAGGGTTGGTCCTTTCCCTTCCACACAACTCAGCGCAATCGCGTATCTCCCAGGGGCAGGGAGAGGACAGAGAGGGCTGCGTGGACTCTTCCCATCTCATTCTCTCACTTCTGCCTTATCTTTCCACTCCAGACCTGGCCAAGCATCAGTCTTAGTCACCAAGACGCTTGTGACGCTTGTGACAATTGACTTAGCTTTTCAGGACTCCCTCGCTTACAGAAACCATGGCCCCGTCCAGCCCCACTAGGCCGTATCTCTTTCTCAGGGGGTCAGATTAGTAGACCACGTCGTCTCTATGAACACACGTTTCCATCTGCAGTGAGGGGCACGGGTTAAATTCCGTGACTCTTCCTCGTGGGCTGGGGACAGTGCACGCTTAAGGATCTCTGGGTGCAAAGCTCTACCTCTTACATTTAGGTTCCAATTTCTTTAGGCTTTTTTTTAAAGTTGTGTGTGCTAACCCTCCCCCTGTTTCTCTGATAAGACTGTGTTCACTCTTCCACTGTGATTGTGGTTTGTGCTTCTACAGAGTGATGTCAGCTCTTTGCTTAGTGTATTCTGAAACCTGTTTTTAGGTGTCTACCCCAAAATTGAGAACATGAGCCCGCATCATGACTTTTAAAAAAATCCTTTTTTTTTTTTTTTTTTAAGTTATAGGTGGACATAATACCTTTATTTTATTTTTATGTAGTGCTGAGGATCGAACCAAACCCAGGGCCCCCACACATGCTAGGCAAATGCTCTACCACTGAGCTACACCCCCAGCCCCTCACAATTTTTTTTTTCTTGTACCAGGGATTGAACTCGGGGGCACTCAACCACTGAGCCACATCCCCAGCCCTGTTTCATATTTTATTTAGAGACAAGGTCTCGCTGAGTTACTTAGTGCCTCGCCGTTGTTGAGGCTGGCTTTGAACTCACGAGCCTCCTGCCTCAGCCTCCTGAGTTGCTGAGATTACAGGCGTGTGCCACGGTGCCCGGCTCCCTCATGATTTTTTTATTATATTAAACAATCCCAACTTTTAATTTCTGCTTATTAAACCTTTGCTCGTCGTCTTCATCTCTACCGTGCCTTATGTCTCACTCTGTTTTGTTAGAAACATTCAGCTAACTCATCAGCAGGCCCAGGTCTCTAATTTTTGTTCCCTTGGCTTCACAAGGTCCGGAGGAAACACTCAGCAACACTCCAAGCCCTCAGAGATCTTTTCTTAAGTCCCCAAGAGGGAAGCAGCCACCAGGATTGGGCTGGATGGTCTTTTTGGGTTTTGGTCTTTCACAGATCTTGATCTGGAAACCTCCACTGCTGTGTTAGCTTGTGTGTGTGTGTGTGTGTGTGTGTGTGTGTGTGTACGTGCACGTGGCATGTCTTGTTGTGTCAAACTCTCCAAATTGTCCTATGGAGTGTGTCAGGGACGAATGGAGCGTTAATGTTGTTAAGAAATAAAGCTGATGATGTCTTTAAAATACAGTCTTTAGATTCTTTTTCCATTTTTATGTGACCATTGAAATTTTTTTTAGGATAGTTAGTTGAAGCACTTTGTCCCCTGTGGGTGTGTACTAATTTTAAGTGTGCACACCTGCTTCCCAAGTAGTCTCACAAGTGACCAACACACATTCCTAAAGGCAGCCCTTCTGTGGACCAGACTAAGGTGGTCACTGAAACTTAATTAAATATGTAGGTTCAGTATTCTTTATCCAAAATGCTGGAGACTAGAAGTGTTTCAGACGTTTTTGGATTTTGGGATACTTGCATATACATGAGGTCTCTCAGGGATGGGACTCAAGTCTAAATGCAAACTTTTTTTTTTTTTGGATATGCCTTATGTACATACCTGAACATAACTTTATGTAATATCTTAAATAATTCTGTAATAGCATGTGATTTTCCACTGTGGCATCACATCACTCTTTTTTAAAAAAATTTTACTTGTTTTATTTAGTTATACATGTCAGTAGAATGCACTTATGTACTTTGATATACATAGATGGGATATAGTTTCTCATTTTTCTGATTGTATATGTTGCAGAAGCATATTGTCATGCAATCACATAGATACATACAGTAATAATGTCTGTTTCCTTCTACTATCCTTCCTATCCCCACATCGCCCCCCTCCCCTCCCATCACTTCCCTTTACCTAATCTAAGGTAACGCTATTCTTCCCTATTGCCCTCCACCTTATTGTGAATGATTAGAGAAAACATTCGGCCTTTGGTTTTGTTGGATTGGTTTATTTCACTTAGCATGATGTTCTCCAACTCCAACCATTTACTGGCAAATGCCATAATTTCACTCTTCTTTAAAGCTGAGTAATGTTCCATTGAGTATATATACCACATTTTCTTTATCCATTCATCTATTGAGGGACACCTAGGTTGGTTCCATAGTTTAGCTATTGTGAATTGAGCTCCTATAAACATTGATGTGGCTGCATCACTGTAGTATGCTGATTTTAAGTCCTTTGGCTATAAACCAAGGAGTGGGATAGCTGGGTCAAATGGTGGTTCCATTCCCAGTTTTCTGAGGAATCTCCATACTGCTTTCCATAGTGGTTGCACTAATTTGCAGTCCCACAAGCAATGTATGAGTGTACCTTTTCCCCCACATCCTTGCCAACATTTATTGTTGCCTGTATCCTTTTTTAAAAAATTTTAAAAAATTTGTTATTAGATCTTTATTTTATTTGTTTATATGCGGTGCTGAGAATCGAACCCAGTGCCTCACACATGCTGGGCAAGTGTTGCTATTGCTGAGTCAAAGCCCCAGCCCTGTTGCCTGTATTCTTGATGATTGCCATTCTGACAGGAGTGAGGTGCAATCTTAGAGTAGTTTTGATTTGCATTTCTCTAATTGCTAGAGATTTTGCACAGTTTTTCATATATTTGTTGATCAATTATATTTCCTCTACTGTGAAGTATCTGTTCAGTTCTTTAGCCCTTCTTGATTGGGTTATTTGGTTTTTTTGGTGTTAAGTTTTTTGAGTTCTTTATATGTCCTAGAGAGTAATGCTTTATTGGATTAATGCTTTATTCACTTTTAGGAATTTTAATAGGAATTGCATTAAATCTATATAATGCTTTTGGTAGTATGGCCATTTTGACATACTACTACATAATTTATTAATTCTATCTATCCAGGAGCATGGGAGATCTTTTCACTTCTGAGGTTTTCTTCAATTTCTTTCTTTAGTATTCTGTAGTTTTTATTGCAGAGGTCTTTCACCTGTTTTGTTTGTTAGATTGAGTCCCAGGTTATTTTTTTTTTCAAGCTATTGTGAATGGAGTAGTTTTCCTAATTTCTTTCAGTGGATTCATCACTGATGTATAGGAATGCATTTGATATATGGTTGTTGATTTTATATCCTGCTACTTTGCTGAATTCATTTATTAGTTCTAGAAGTTTTCTGGTGGAATTTTTTTCGATCTTCTAGATATAGAATCATGTCATCAGCAAATAGTGATAGTTTGAGTTCTTCTTTACCTATTTGTATCCCTTTAATTTCTTTCTTTTGTCTAATTGCTCTGGCTAGATTTTCAAGGATAATGTTGAATGGACATGGTGAAAGAGGACATCCTTGTCTTGTTCCAGTTTTTAGAGGGAATGCTTTCAATTTTTCTCCATTTAGAATGATGCTGGCCTTGGGTTTCGCATAGATAGTTTTTACATGTTGTGGTATGTTCCTACTATCCCTAGTTTTTCTAGTGTTTTGAACATGAAGGTGTGCTGTAGTTTGTCAAATGCTTTTTCTGCATCAGTTGAGATGAT